GCATTAAAAATGCAAAAATAACTAATAAAAACGATCAAATCCACTGTAAAAACTAATTAAAACTAACTGAATTAAAAGAAAAAGTCACAACGAACTAAAACTATAATGAAAAATCCAAAACTATTATAACCTTGCCTCGGGGGAGACCTCAGGTACGTACCGGATCTGCAGTAGAAGCTGGGGCATTAGCGTCAGCTGGGGCATTAGCATCAYCTGGTTTCTTGGTCTCAGCAGGACCACCACCGGTGTACTCCGGCCTAGTTCTCATGCCTGTTGGAAGGCCGAGATCTTGCAGAACCTGTAGATGGCAAAAGCCAAAATGTTTARTCATGTATTCACAGTTCAACTAAGTCAAAATTACACAGTGACCTGTATTTCTTTGTTTTCAAGCATTAAGGAAGGTTTTTTGTTTTTGTTTTTTTTTTTCTTTCAGACTTGTTTTAGTAAAAGCTGTAGACATTAGGTTTGTAATATTTTTGTTAAATTAAGCAAATAGCTTAAAGGCCAAATGAAATAAAATATCAAAATGATGACTTTTCATGTTTTTCTTTCAAATTAACGCTTCTATAAAATCATCCAGTGGCCCCCTTTTGCTGATTAAAAAAATCTAATGACTTATTTTTTACATTTTGGTGTAAAAAACAAAACAGATGTCATGGTCACATTATTTAGGAAAAAAAAGCAGAAGTCTTTGTCGAATATGAAGAAATGCCAGAACACAAAAAACCTGGCGGATCAGGAGTGGGTACCACTGCGTTCAGAGTAAACTAAACTGTATTTAAAAAAGGAACGGGTCCTGCCTTGGCCGCGAGGTTGAGTTTGGCAGCTCGTTTGTTCGGTCCCGTCTCTTCGTAGGTCTTCCCGTTCACATCCACAGCCATCTTGAAGACCGGTACGTGGGTCGGGCCAGTTTGAGATATAAACCGGTACTCCAGGTGAGGGTTGTAATGGTTGAGGCGCATCACAGAGTTTACGTTTGGATCGTTTGTGACTACAAGAGGAGAAGCAGGTGAACAACAAACACAACCTCCACATAAGAACATGAAGAATAACAAGAAAAAAACATGATCCTCTGAGATTTAATACTGACATAATATCCTAGGCAGGTTCTCTTCAAAGTTGTCCATTTTTTGCTTTTTGAAGCTGTGACTGTACTCCCCCTGATCCTGTAGCTCCGAGTATGGTCTCTTTAATGGGGGAGGCTCTGGGGGAGATGGTCCCAGGTAAACTGTATGAAACAACAGAGACAAGCATGAAAATAAAATAGTTTAAGTTTTAAAAGAATGACTCAGATGGGAATCTTCCCTACCTGAACCCTCACTGCTGCTGACTGTAAAAGGCAGAGATTTTAGTTGCCTGAAGAATTTGCGAGTAACCCCAAACACCGTGCTCACCTTTCCAAARGCAAACATCCTCAGGATGAGCTGCATTAAAAAAACAGAAAAGTTATCAACAATGTTGTTTATTACTACAGTTATTGGTGTCAACATGCTTCTACCGCACCTGAGAGGTCTTTGTGATGTTTTCACGTTGCTGCACAGTCAGAGACGAAGCAACATCCATGTCTTCCCTCTCACACGGGTCTTTAATGCCCGGGGAATCTTTAAAAAGCAAAAATAAACCCTGCTGGTACATTAAAAGTTAKCGCCAAAAGATCCACTCTTAAATGACAGCGTGTTAAATCTCACCTTCTAAGAGGATTCCAGAGGAGATGCACTCAAAAAATCTGCGGAAGACTTCGCCTACGTCCAGTTCTTTATTTGCTGTGCTGACGACCCTCTCTACCAGCAGATCCAGAAGCTACACAAGGAGAAAAATAAACAGTGTTCAGTTAAAATGCTGCTTAAAACGAACAAACACACAAAAACGTTAACTACCGTATTTATTCATGTATAATACGATCTCATGTATAATACGAACCCACTTTTTTGAGCTTAAAAAG